GTGGTGTGAAAATCTGGAACAGTCTGAGTTTACAACTGAAACAATGCAAAAATATTCATAGATTTAAATTCCTCTACAAACAGTTGGTTTGGTCACAGTATACTCAATGATGGTTATAGTGTGCTCTGTAATGTCTGTTCTCTTACCATTGCTGGTATGGATTAAAATAAAAAAAATAAAAAAAAGTGTGTGCGTATGTATGTACATATATGTACATGTGTGTGTAGATATATATGTATGTATGTATATGTATGTGTGTTTGTCACTATGTAATTATTATTGCCTGTTACCTGTGGTAACGCAATTTATAATTATTATATATTCTGTATTTAGTTATGATGGTTCTATTTGTTGTTTGCGAGCTGCCGTTGAGATGCTTGCATGTGCCCGGGGCTGTTGATGGTTTGTTTGGTTGTAACGATGGGCGTAGCTGTGGGAAGCTTATTGTTTTTTGTTGATGAGTGAGTATAGGGGTGGGATTTAATAAGTTTTCTTCGTCCCACTCCTTTTCAGGTAATTTTTGTTTTTTGTTTTGTGCACTTTTTGTTCAATATATGTATTTTGTTGTGCCTGAAATGAACAAATAAATGAAATGAAAAATGAAAAAGGTATGAGTCGAGTGAGGGCTGGTTGAGGAGAAAAACCTGTTTGTAAGAGAGTTGGAATGATATATGGCAACATGAAATCAACTATTTTAAATGACTAGGGTCAAGTGGTTTCTTGTATATTTCAGCAGTGATATGAAATCACAACAAAACCAGAGTGCTGGAATCCCAGTCTGTAGCTTTAATTTAAGAGCAGGTTGTTGGTTTTAATGGAGGATCTTAAAGTATTGTATCTGAAATGGGGATATTTGGATGTAGCAGTACTAATAATAATGATGGTGAATGTATTGAAGAAGAGCTATTGCAGTTGCAACTACCATGCATTTATATTCATAATATTAGCTTCAAAGTGTACTTAACTAAGTTAAGACCAACAAAAAATGTCTGGGAAAGAAAATGAATACTTTTAGGTTTGTCTGCTTGTTTTTTCTTTATTCATCACAGCTGGCCAATCATTTTTATTTTTCAGTCATGAACACTCTGCCTCCCAAAGGTCATCTGTTGGATTAAGATCTGTTGACTGTGGAGGCCGTTTGAGCACAATGACCTCACTGTCATGTTCAGAAAATCAGGTTGAAATGATTTTAGCTTTGTGACATGGGGCATTATCCTTCTGGAATCAGCTATGAGAAGATGGGTACACTGAGCTCTTAAAGGGATGGACAAGGTCAGCGTGGTTGTAACAAGCAGTGATTTGAGTTACTGTTGCTCTCCTATCAGGTCAAAGCGGTCGGGCCATTCTCCTCCGACCTCTGCCATCAACAAGGCATTTTCACCCAAAAAACTGCCTCTCACTGAATATTTTCTCTTTTTGGATCATTCTCTTTAAATCCTAGAGGTGACTGCAAAAGAAAAACCCAGATCAGCAGTTTCTTAAATACTCAGAGAAGCCCATCTGGCAACAGCAACCTTGTTCAAAGTAACCTAAATCCATTTATTGTTCATTCTGAGGTGCAGTATTCGTATTTCTGTTAATGTGGAGTTGAACATGTGTATCTAATCAAGTAGCTGGTGAGTGTATATATTATGGGGGGGGGGGGGGTATAAGGTCATGTGAAAAAGAAATACTGTGCAATACTTTGAAAAAAAAAGTTATATACATAGACATTCGTCCACACACACAAAGCAGTAACACAACAACAGAATTACAAACGTCACAAGTATGGCTTCTGGAGCGATGTCCGTTTGGAGACAAAACTAAAGAGCAGATGTTTGCTCATAATGTACAGCACCACATGTGGAAAAAACCAAACATAGCATATAAGGACAAACACCTCATGCCAGCCGTGAAGCACATTGGTGGAGGGTTGATGAGTTGGGTTTGTTTTACAGTCACAGGATCCTGTGACTGTAAAACAAACAGATTGCAGTAATTGAGCTGAGCGTGACTCCTCTGAAAAACTAAAATACTCTACAGTCAAATGTGAGGTCATCTGTAAGAAAGTAAAGTCAAAACTGAGTCATGCAATAGGACAATGATCCCAAGCGCAGCTGAAAAGAATCAAGGTGTTGCAAAGGTCCAGTCAAAGTGCAGACCTTAACCTAATTGAAAGACCTCTGCATAAATGAATGCTGGCAAACCTCAATAAACTGAAGAAATGTTGTAAAAGACTAGGCAATTTTAGAGACTGACAAACACATACAGAAAATGAGTACTTCAAGTTATTGCTCTTAAAGGTGGGTCCACAAGCTATTCAGTCATGCCATGTATTCATTTTTTCTCAAGTCAATGCGGTCATGGCATGTTCTGTCAAGTCCATCTCCAGGGCAACAACCACAAAATAGTTTAAACACCTTTCACCTAAAATAACCTAAAATAAGCCAAGTGGCCTAGAACTAAAAAGCTTAGGCAACATTTTCTGATTTATCATTACATACAGTACTTCAGCAAATGTTCTTGGTTACTTTACTTTCAAAATAAATGAAGTGCTACACCAGTACCCATAGAGGAGGAATTGCCTGATCAGCTCACTAAACCATTTTTTTTTTTTTGCCTTGTTTATCAGATTTTCTTTCATAAGAGGCAAATGAAGTCCATTGCTATACATGCTCAGACACTCATGGTCCTCATCCTTGTATGAATAATCCATAAACATTAATCATGTCTTCACAGTGAGGTCAACATTGTGACACAGTTCTAACAAAATGCTTTTCCCAAAACCAACTGAGAATCTGCAGGCAGGGTTTCAGGTGACAATTCTAAGTTATTAATTTCCATGCTTTGGTCATGGCACCTTCAGAAAAACCTGCCAAGGAAAGTCTGTGTTTGTCTTCCTTTGTGCTACCCACACAGCCGCCTTTGAAATGTGAATGCTACATTCTAACTTGTTGCTATGGGGAGTCACAGGACATCGCTGATATGAGTCATCGTCTAAATTGAAACAGATCATGGCCACTAAATACCACCCTCTGACTAGAAGCAGTTAATGGCAGTGATGACTGTGTCACTCTAAAAAACACACCGTATTAGTCAACAGATTAGCTAACCGTACAATATAGCATTTTGCCTTTGGCATCTGTGCTTCATGCCAAGCAAATTTGCATGATGAATGTCTGTTTTCGCAATGTAACTTTTAATCCACCCTTAATTGTGGAAAATTACAGAAGTGTGAGGTTTGGTCACCAGAGGATAAAAGGATGTATGGAGCTAAACTGGTAAGCAGTGGAGATTTGTAAGCCACCGATGCTGGCCTTTTGATTGGTTGAATCTTGTGGGCCTGGAATCACCCAATCCCTGTCTGGCCCTGAGGAGATTATTAGAGCCTTGCCAGGGTTTATATAATCCTGGCCAACAATAAGTAAAAGCTCCCTCCATATATAAACACTGCACACACATGGGATGAAAATTTTGCTACTATAGAAATCCAACGTTGAATCCTTCATCTCTTCAGCAGTTCTGAAAACAACATCTCAATCACAGCAAGTTGCAAAATGCCATTTAGACACAATGCAGTTATTCGGAAGTTGTAATGAAAGTCAGTACCAACAGAACCACAAGAGAGGAATTGAAAAGTGGGGTCCATAATTAAACTAATCTGAATTAAAACCATTTAGCAGTTTATTTTTTTTAAACAGATGCCTATGACTTCTTGCATCTTGGAACCAGCAGATAATTACACTGCAATAAAATGTGCCTATAATGCTGCAATAACAGCAAACGCCACCAGCAAACAAATCGTTTGCTGTATACTTCAACTTAATGCTATTATTGTCCAGAAGTGACTATATAGTGACTTCATTACTCTTTCATTCTCATTTCATTTCTTTGACTATGAAGAACGAAAACACATTTGGCTTTAGTCTCCACGAAAACTTTATTTTCAATCTCTAAAAATAAAATCCATAAAAATAATAATGTAAAGTCTCTCAGAAAGAAAGAAAGCGTTTTAAAGCTCTTTCCCCATACTCATACAGCAATCGTCTGTTAACCATCCTCCATGTTATGCATCATTCACGCCTATCACATTATAAAACTGACGTTTTGGACTGAGGTCATTCAACATTGGTGTCAAAAATACATACAAACACAGTACTTTTCGTTTATTTTTGTATTCTGGGGATGAGGTGTTGATGCGTCAACACGTTACACTGTGGGAATAATGACCACAATCTAGAAGGCCAATGATTTCAAGCACCCTGGCTGAATTACTCTTAATAATGTCACGATTAAGCTCGTCCAGTAAAGTGCTACTTTGTCAACAAATGTCTGAAATGTCATTTCTGCTTAGCATTATCTGTTAATGCTAACTAAAACTGTCTACATGACAGAAAAACAAAATCCTGAAAATGGCTTTAAACAAAAAAAAAAAAAAAAAGAAGAAGAAATGTGGTATTTACTGCACAAAGTTTCAGTACTTAAAAAACTTAAAGTCTGTGTTCGTCGATGTTTTGTCACTTTAACATTGCACACTAAGACACATTCGGTAGGAGGTTCATAAAAGATGCACTTCAAACAAGATTAAATGACATTTCAGCACTGCAGTGCACTAGAAACACATTAACACACAGTAGATACACAACAGATAGCCTGCTATAGAAGAAATGTACATTGTAGGTGATGCAGTGAGCCCTGAAGTATATTGTACACATTGTGGACATAATGTAATAGAGACACATTTCAGTAATGTAGGGCACAAAATGAAATTTGCATAAAACACAATCCGATAAACTCATGACTGTTGGTACTTGTGATTTTTTGTTACGATACAATATTAGTGCATGAACTTTCAACACAATACAGTCACAGAAAGATAAAAATAACAATGAAAGTAATGAAAACAAAGAAGAAAACACACTACTAGGAAATGTAGTATAATAAAAATAGCAGTACAGCTCCAGTTATGCCCTGATTTAGGTCATCAGTGACAACATCGTAAACAGCCAATTCAAATGTACCATTTACATTACGTCATTTATTGCAAGGGGAAATGATAGTAGCGATAATAACAACATTATTAGTCTTGTGCTTCTTTCTGCTCTCTCTTTTCTCTCTGTACTGCAAAATATGTATATATTAAAAACATTAAATATTAACTGTAAGTTTCACTAAATTTAGATGCAACACCTTCAGTAGGCTAAATCAAACAGATATAATAATCACAATAAATATAATGGTAATATGCAATACCAGCAGCGAATGAAATGCTTCGCAGCATTAACTCTTTTTTTCCCCCCAAAGTTCATAATGGCCCCTCAACCAAACAAATAAAAAGAAAAAATTAAAAATAAATGGATATTTGTTAATATCCAATATATGTATGCTACACCAGCAACTAAGCCTACAGTCACTGAGAACAAGAGTAAAATAAAAAGCTTTAAAAAAAATTAAAAAAAAAATAAAAATAAAAAAAAAAAATCACAGAATACATTTATTTTCACAATACAAAAAAGACAAGTGCATATGTCAAATAAGGCAAATATTGAATTCACTTAGAGTACAATTCTAAAAATCCCAGTAGATATTTTGAATGCAGGATTAACAATAAGCGCTGTACAAAATTGACACGCTAGTGTCAAATAAGATTCAGAGTCATAGAGAAGTCATAGTTTTTTGTTTTGGTTTTGGTTGTTTTAAATGTGAAGAAGCTTTCATCATTTAAAAAAAATGATTACACTAAGCTTAGATCCCTGTTAGAGAGCTACAAAATACAACTGTAAATATTACAGACAGAGCTTCATACATCTCTGAAAAGTCAACTCTTTCTAAAAGCCCCAGACACCTCCCACCCCACTCGGTCCTTGTTACTACAGTGAAAAATAAACAAACATGAAGATGCCCACAGAGCAGACTGAGACCAAGCCCAGGTTGAGGAGAAGTTTGACTCGAGGTGGCTCGTACAGCATCTCTGCGATGGCTCTCGCGTCCTCCTTCGCCCCTTTTTGCTGAGCGCTCTGCGATTCTCCCTTATAGCCGCAAACCCAGTCCAGCAAACGCATGCACCTGCTCGTCTCCGCACCACTGCGGCAGCCTTCCTCTGCTCTGATTGTCTCCATATTTCTGTTACCAATCTGGGCTCCAGGAGTGGTGGCAGGGGACGTTTCTGTACTTGGTGTTGCTGGGTCATGGTCTGTGGAAGGGACCAGAAGTTTGATATCCATCCCGTCCACGCACCTCTCTTTTTTAACGTCTGGGGGTAGCTCTTTACGCAGGCTTGTGTCACCATTACAGTGGTTCTTCTCAGTCAGCCGGTACATTTCCTCTCTGTTCTTAGGGGGAGTCATTTCAATGCTGTAGAGCCCCCAGAGGGTGGTGGTGCGAACCTGCTCCTTATCTGGTGGAGAAGTACAGAGACTGACCACAATTGCCACCAACCCTGAAATCCAGAACAGCCCAGCAGCAAAATACATGTAGTGAATTCGAACAACGAAGGCAGGCCTATTATCTGGCTGGTCACAGCGAGGCTGGCGGTAGATAAATGCCAGGATCAGTCGTATGGTACCTAGGGTAAAACCCGTCATGCCTCCCCAGAAGGCACCTCTCTCATTACATCGCTTCCAGAATACACCTAGAAGGAAAAGGGCAGCAATTGGTGGAGTGAGGTAGCCAGCAACTTCCTGGATGTAGAGGTATGTCTGTCCACCTTGCATCTCAATAATGACAGGCACCCAGGCAATACTGATGACCACCATGACCACAACAAACATGCGGCCCACAATCAACAGTTCGCGTTGGCATGCCTTTGTCCGAAAGGTCTGGTAGATGTCCAAGGTGAAGATGGTGCTTGCGCTGTTGAAGATCGAGTCAAGGTCACTCATCAGGGCAGCTATCATGACTGCCATCATAAGACCCCTGAGTCCCACAGGCATCACCGCCATGACCAGACGTGGGTAGGCAATGTTTGAGCAGCCAGCTTGGGAACCACAAACAGCCATGCAGTGCTCCGGCCCGATGCAGGCAATCTCATCTGCAAACAAGATGCGGGATATCATTCCTGGAATGACTATTAGAAACATGGGCAGGATTTTGAGAAATCCAGCCATGAGTGTTGAGCCCTTTGCATGAGCAATGTTTTTTGCTGCCAGTACTCTCTGGACAATGACCTGGTCTGCACACCAGTACCAAATAGATGCAGGCGTCTGGCCAAAAAGAAAACCTGGCCAAGGAATGTCTTCATCCAGGGGACCTCGAAGGATGCGCAGTGAGTTTGGTTTAGGGTCAATGCGACATGAAGGCGAGTATGTGTAGTTTCCAGTGGCTAGTATAGCGGTAACATTAGGAACTGCCTGCATGTACTTAGTTCTGACACCCTCTAGCCCACCGACTTTGATCAGGCTCATAATGGTTAAGGTGAGGGCTCCACTGATCATCAACACTGCCTGAAGGGCGTCGGTGTATAGCACTGCCACCAATCCACCAGTGACAGTGAGCAGAGCAGTCATACTGATAAGCAGAACAATAGACAAATAGAGATTCCATCCAAGGGACTCTTGAATAAAGAGAGCTCCAGCATACAAGTCCACAGACAGTTTGGTAAAAATGTAAAGCAGCACAGACAAGAAAGCAAAGTAAACCTTGAGTCGTTTGCCACCATAGCGTTTTGATAGGTACTCTGGCATGGTGTAAACTCCTGAGTGGATATACACAGGGATAAACACCCAGCCAAGCAGCTGCAGAAGTAGAAGTGCATTAAATTCCCACGCTCCTACAGCATAGCCACTTGCTGCTCCTGACCCAGCCAGGCCAATGAAATGTTCACTGCCAATGTTGCTAACAAACAGCGAGGCACCTATCACAATCCATGTCATGGAGCGTCCAGCCAGGAAGTAGCCGCTCACAGTGCTGCGATTGGCTTTCCACATGGCAAGAAACCCGATGGCTAGCACCAGGACGAAATACAGTGCCACCACAGCTATGTCTGCTGCTTCCATTACACCAGCCATTTTTTACAGATTATGTTAAAAAAAAAAAAGTCTTACAGGAAACTTTAAAAAAATAAAAGAAAATAAAGAAAACTGGAAATATATAAATATACTTATTTTGCACTTGTTTAAATGGAATGGAAATGTTGTGCTTTGGTTTGCTGTCTGGATGGAAGTTGTTAAGATCCACTGTCTGGTCGAATACACTACTTGGATGGGGTTATCCACTGGCACTGAGGTCGTTCTAGTTTTTAAGCGGAGGATGCTGTACGTCTCTGGTCTAGAAAAGCCAAGAGTTAAAATTCCTGCAAGACAGCAAAGAAGAACACCACATTAGAGGTTTGATTTGAAGTGTAGCGGGGGCAAAAAAAAAAAAATTACAGAAATGTGTTGCATCTGACGACAAAAATAAAATGATCAAAAATCACTAATAAAAGAAAATATATGTAAATATATGAAAATACGCTCAGTAAACTACATGAAGCTCAATATATTATTGCTTATTTCCAGCTTTGTAACTCTAGTATTTTTCCAGTGGGATTAGATTTCCAATGACTTTCCTCGTTAATCTGTTTAAACAAAAAAGGACTCAAGCCACACTACTATAAAACCTTCAAAGAAGCATTATGTAAGACGTCATGAAATGTGGCAAAGACTATGCTGCTGCGCCACAACCAAATGTGCAGTTTGACTTGTGTCTTACAGAAAAACTTGCAGCGCATTAAAATAAACAGGTAGCAAAAATACATTTAGGGCTACAAGTTTAAATATGGAGCTAAAGGAGTATAGCTCCTTTATATATACCACACAAAACAAGGACCGATTCACAATGTCTGCTTTTATGGACACACCTTAATCTGTTAAACTGGCATCGTCATATTCCACTCCTGAAATTAGAAGGACATTTAACTGCACCAAAAGTTTATAGCTAACTGCATTCTGCATATGCTAAATATTCCAAATTCTGCAGGAACATAAGATTACAAGAGGGATGGATTAAAATAAAATTCTTGTGTCAGCAAAAAGTAATATGCAAGGGGATGTCAGAGCACATCTGTTTTGTGTCAGTCTCATACACACATACACACACAAACATACAAACACACACTTGGCTGCCAGGCCCCTCCTGAGGTTTCAGCTTGCCATGCATGGGAGAAAATAACCCCACGCATCGGACTTCACAACCATGCTTTATGCATAACCATCCCTCTCTGTAAAAGAAGCCTTTGTTTTCATTTTACCATCTCATCATCAAGGCCTGCGCTCCATGTGTTCACCACAAACTGCCCATGAGACTCTGACTCTGAAATATAGCATTCATTCATTCAGCAGACAAATAGAATTGTATTTGCATGTCATTGTTTAATGTAAGAGTCAAGCTCAATCACCAACACCCCGGTATGCCAGGATGGGGACTCGCGCAGCATGCTCCCACATACTGACATCATGGGTTTAAATAATGCCACGGGGCAGACTTTAGCACATGCATAACACATTAATAAATCCATGTAGTTAAAGTTTCTTTCTTCTTTTTTTATGTTTCTAAGCCAAGACCTATCTAAGAAGGTCTAGTGTGCAAGTGCATAGTAGTTACTTGACAGCAGAGAAGCACGCCAAGACAAACGTGTCCTGGCATGTGCCAATACCACATTGGGAATATGAATTACAATAAAATATATAAACCCTGAGGATAAACAGAAGCTGCAATTTATTTAAGGAGTCGTTAAGGACTAAACTTATGCGGAGCAGCTTACTTTGCGCAGCCGGATTTTAAATGAATGTCGCTCTCAGGCAACGGTCACAGCAGCCTACCTACAGGGAGACACCAAATGTGGCACCTCTGCTTTAAATGTCTAATAACACAGTAAGAGATCAAGGGCTTTGGAGCAAAGGCCGACTGACGCCATCGTGGAGAGCAGTGGTATAATGGATAGTTAGTGTACAGAACAATGCCAGATGTGCCTGACAGCCTGAGAGTGCCTTTGTGAATACAGAGAGGAGGGCGACACCAGTCTACCACGGTCAGGCAAGTAGTCCCAACTGCACCTAAGTGCTCGGGGGAAATTTCTAGAACAGTCACTCATTCATCCGCCGGCAAAAACTGCGCATCTTCCAGGAGATAGCAGTCGTCATCATTAGCCATCCTCGTGATGCGGGACGCGTTTCCACACACACCCGGACGGCTCTAAGCGTACTCCTTCACACTTTTTACTCTTTAAAACACCCGTCATTTCCCCCTGCCTGACGTCAGCTGTAAAACACGAGTCTGGTGGCTCAACAGTCAGTTGGCACCCCATTGAATGAGACCTGGCGTAGCTTTAAATAAAAGCAGCCTCAATGGACTTCCCGCTGGCACGTGCTCGGATATTTTGGTTTATTGACAAAACAGCTCAGCCTCCACACACACACTCACCGGTTCTGCTGATAAAAAAAAAAGTCAAAACAAGTCGCTACAGATGTACCTGGATCGCTAATGTTCGCGAACGCGCCAAAAGCAAAGAGATGCACAGCCGTCTCTCTCCACGCCCCATAGGCGGAGATGTGTGTGGAGAAGCGTCTTCGTACTGAATGCTCGCAGCTTCCTCGGCTCACGTAGGTCGCCTCTCCAGGTTGTGGACTTCACATTAACTGCCGGCGTGTCTCTTCCGACTTTCACAGAGAGCTGTGATGCCCGTCAGACAATGCTGCCCCTGCTCCTTATAGGCATCCACTCGATTCCACGCCCCACACGTGTATTACACCCGTGACGTGTTACAGGGCGAAAAATACCGCCTACTAGAAATTGCTCCGGTCCGCTCACTAGGCTACTGGTTCTCCTGGTCACCTGTCTGTTTATGTAAGCTTAGGAAGACAGGCAGGTGCACACTGAGCGATTCAATGGGAAGTCGAGAGTCCGCGGGTCACGCCCACCTTTTTCCTCAGCGTGCTTTGAATGAGGAAGATCATTTGCTTGTCCTTAAACAAAATAAGTAGGTTAGGCATATGCATTTTTACGAACTCGTAAAAATTAAAAAGTGTCGGGTTTACTTAAACGTGAAAATGAAGAATAGATGTTAGTATTTACTGGTTTGACTAACTGGATAAAGCTGTCTAAAGCTTTAGTAACTTTCCACTGCTGATCAGACAAAGCATAAGCTAAGCTTGCCAAATCTTTCATAATCTTCTATGTACCCGTAATTAGATACCAAGGTGGCTGCTTAACCTGAACGAACACACCTGGAAGGTCTCCGAGCTGCTGCCAAACGGGGAAATTGCTAGAAACCCATTCAAGGCCTGGTCACTGAAGTGTAGCTCCTAATGAGATTTTTTTTTTTTTTTTTGCTGAAGTCTCCCCAGAAAGGAATTTTTGGCCCGCATGCCAACAACAATGCCCATCAGAGGAATAAAGTTATGCATACTTTGCTGTTGCAACAACACATGTTTTCATTTTCCAAGTGACCTGGCACGGACGCTGCTATTTGTTGGAGAGCATCGGGCTTGCAATCTGGAGGAAATAGTTGTCATTGTAGAGCAACAAGAGAAAACACCAGCAATCATCAACACCTAATTTATAGTGACTGTTGTGCCATCACTGCATTGCAACACAGAGCTGAGCCACATGAGCTTTGCTCTCTAAAAACAATCATAATAACATTACATCCAGTTGGGAGAAAAGCAAGTGTCTCGTTCTTATCAGACAGCAGCACCTCTTGTCTTGAGTGGGCCCTAAATAGTGTGTGCATGTGAAGTAGGTGTGTGCATTAATGTTACCGCTTGCAAATATTTGCATGCTCCAAATTTTCAGTGCGTGTGTATGTTGCATAGTGTAGATTGTGTTAGAAGAGGCTTGCAATGCAAGTTAAAACACTCACTATAATCAACCGCACAGCTTGGGTTCTGTTAAAATAGCTGGCACTACTACTGAGCAAATAATATAAAGAATGTTCCAGAAGGTTGTAGAGCATAACAATATTATAACAATAATAATCCAAAAGATATTGCTGTAATCAGGCATGTTGCCCTGACCATGATAATAACCGTCAACAGCCTCAGCAGACAGATAAGAATATGATTCTACTGGTTGAGTTTCAACAAAACATCCTGCACGGCAGACACAGTTCTGCATACTACGGAGGGAGGGAAACGGAGTAAATTTCCACTCACTCCTCTCTCGCAGATATCTTGGAAAATTCCATTTCGTGAAAGACTACATTTCCCAGCAGGCATTGCGCCTCTTTCGGTTGCGTTTTTGTTGCGCGACACTAAGTTGCTCTATGGCAGCGGTGTGTTTCGATTTCACCAGGAAGTGGGAATTGATTGACTTTTGTGAGCGCGCGTTTGTTTTTGTTTGTTGTTGTTTTGTTTTTAAATTTAATCTATTTTGGACTTTATACTTTTTTATTTTGCTGGTAAAACCTAGTTATATTCCCTACCAGACTGTGGCCTGAGCGCTCAATTGCTTTTAGAGAGGGGCTCCTTTTCCCCCTTTTTCCTTAGTTACAGTCTTAAGTCAGATGGGAGACTAATAGTAAATTATTTGCCTCAAGGTTTTTGTACCCAGTAAGCATCATTGATTGAAGAGATGAGGAAGAGGTAGGAAACTTCACTGCAGTAAACTAACATGTGTATGGATGAATGAATGATTTTTGTTGTTGTTATTGTTTTTATTCCTGTCTAAATTATTTGCGTTTTACATCATATCTGTATAATGTCCTAGAAGAAATCACATAGTGGAATAAATACACCCGCCCACTACTTAATTAGGTATTCCTTGCCAGTACTGGGTTCAGCCCCTTTTTGGCTTCAGAACTGCTTTTCTTCTGTGTGGCATGGATTATATAAGGTGCTAGAAACACATTGGTTTGGGATTTGGTGACTGTGGAGGCTATTTGAATATAGACAATTTATTTTCATGTTCAAGAAAACTGGTATGAGATGATTTGACCTTTGTGATGTGGTGTGATTTCCTGCTGGGAGCGGACATGAGAAGATGAGTACAATGTGGTCATAAAGGGATGGACATTCTCAAAATACTCAAATAGGCTGTGGTGTTTAAATGAGGCTTAGTTGTTACTTTGGGACCTAAAGTGTGCCAGGAAAATATCCCCCACACCATTAAACCACCAGCAGCTGATGCCGATGCTTTGCTTGAACTTCAATAAACACAGAATTTTGGAAGTTTGTATACTCAAATAAGCCTTTTTATTAATCCATCCCACTCGAAACATTAAAATCTATTCAGAGAGCAGTGAAAGTGTCTGCACTTTGATCTTACAGTTCTTTAACCTTTGACCTACATATTAGATTTTCTTTTCCTCTCTTCACTTTTAGTGTCTTTTATTTTCTGTTGTTTTGAATTGCTTTATCTACATTTTCCCACGAAAAGCACCTCCGAAGTGTCCCAAAACATTTTTGTTTGAAATACCAATATGATTTTTTTTATTTATTTATGCCAAAATAATACCACCCAGTGTCATGTGTTGAATGAGTAATCCTTTACAAGCATCTCCCAAGAGATCTAAAAAGACTTTGAGTTTTCAGTGTACACCGGCCGTTCTGTATTGCTTCATCGTCGCAGTCATAAAACCTGTGGTGTTGATCGGAATTAGATTGAACAGCTGCGAATGTAGGTAGTCTGTTATTTTACAACATTTGTGCTTCTCATCGTGGCAGTTTAAATCACAAAGAGTGACAATGCGATCATAGATTACATTTTTACTTAAACCTGCAACTAGTATAGAGATCAATTAATGTGACATTAATATAGAAATTACTATAAATAGACTACAAATAAATACTATTTTGGTATTTTTGCCATCTATTAGAAGGAGCCTCGGCCTAGCAATAGTGAGACAATTTTGTTTCACTTGAATAAGACTTGATGCAGAGCTTGAAGTCAGCATGCAGATCAATCAAACACAGAAAAGGCTCACTGCACTTAACAGCACACAGAAAAAAAAACCTCTTCACTTTGCAAGCCTTCCACATTTAAAAGCCAAATGAGATTGCAATTATCTAGATATTGTTATACAAGACAGGCGTTACAGATGGAGAGTAGCAAGACACTTTACAGTCCCAGTTATTTAGTGGTTGTTCCTGCACTGTAGGTTTGACTTCCTAGTATTGTTTGATTAGTGCTAGGTTAGAAGTATATGTGTACACTATTTTACAACCGCCATTTAAAAAACTTTTTTAAAATAACAAAAACTATCCCACCTAACTGGTTTGATATGACTCACACTGCAGTGTGTTAACATTGTTGTTCATTCTATCCACACATTGCTGCCCTACCTCATTCAATGTTCAAGCAAAATAGAGGAAGTGTTAGCGGGAGCAGAACAACTCACGTTCACACCAGTAATAAGCATTCGGTAAACAGGTGACTTTGGGAGATTGTGCTGGATCGTTACAGCTGTGAATACTTTCTTTATTAACCCAAAAAGGTGTTTTTGGGAAAACCTCTGGTGTCTCGTGTAGTCTAGGTCACTCGAATTTGTTGTTAGTACCAACACTGCATATTAAGAGAAATGTAGGACACAATATCCAAGGAAAAGTCCTTCGTCTGGCAGGTGCCTATAAATAAGGTTGACGCTGTTCATCTCAGCAGCAGCTGCTGTATTGTTTTAATTCATGGTCAAAGTCAAAACAAATGTTAACTTAGGAGTTAAAGTGTAATCGTAAGGAACTCAGCACTGTGATGTGACAATAAAAAGTCGTTTGATTTGATTTGACTGATGCTGTTACTTTCTAAGTTTGTTTTCAGGGTTTTTTTATGATATCTTTCTTTGGATTCAGACTGAGATTCTAAGAAAGACAAACCACCGATCTTTTTTGCAGAAGGCACCTGTATCTTGGGTGTGGTATGAGGAAGTATTTTATGTGTAAAATCAATGTTAGTTCAGTTAGTCAAGATCACAGAGACGTGTCTGCTATCAGAATGACTAACATTTTCTCAGAAATATTCAGACTGGTTGACTCCCAAAGAAAGCCAGGTGTATCTGGAAGGACCAAACGTTGTGCTGTCTATTACTATCATGTTGCACACCTCGCTATGTTTTAGTTAATTTAAATTTGTTGGATACTTTTTCTTTTGCTGGCAATCCAAGAGCTGCTAAACAGTCCTTTTCTGGAAAAAAACAACAACAAAAACAAACAATAAAGTTCTATTTTATACTACTCTGTTTTTTTCTATTGTGTTCTATTCTGTTTAAATCTATTGTGTAGTTGTGGAGCCACCTTGAGGCCAGGGAGCACGGAAATGTGCCATTTGGGATAGTTCATCCATAGCAGATGTAGTATCAGTTAAGCTGAAATTACACAATGTATGTGAGATTTTAACAGCGTATTAATGAGAAACCAGTCATCAGTGAAACAGAACGTGAGGGCAGGAAACAGAAAAGAGAGGCAGAAGACTAAGAAGAAGAATAAATCAAATCTTTCCCCTCCTCTTTGTCCAACTTTGTTGTGTCTGATCATAAATACTGTAGCACAACTTTTGTGTTTAGAGTGTAAACATAGCTATAGGATCCGTGTTTTTGTTGTAAAGCATGTTGAGTTAAATTAGCTAACTTGGCTCACAAATTTAAAACCTGGAAGCATTCAGAGAGCATCAGAACTACAAAAGCTAAACGGTCCAGTTTAGAAAGTATTCATTATGAACTTTAATATGCGTCTGCATTTATGTCCATAGTAACAGAGATCTTTAAGTTTCCACACTACAGTAGCATTAGTACTAATGAATTCATTAGTTAAAGAGCAGTCAAAGGTTTGTGCACAAAACTTGTAAGACACACAAAACCTCATTAACT